TAAAAGTACATATCTTTTATTACTACAACTCTCTCCCAATTTTCTCTCTCTTTCCATTCTTCTCACCACGCGTTTCCCAACCCCCCCCCCCCCCCCCCCCCCGGACGAGATAACTCTTGGTCATCAACTATAACCTTTTTATGCCATAGTAGTTGGATTGATCCAAAATCTGGATTCTTTTGTCCAGATATGTTGATTTCTCTTTACTCATCTCATCTCCATATATCCTATACTCTCCCCATCAAATTGGATGTGGATGTGAAGAAACACCGAATTTATAAGATATACATTTTTTTTTTTTTTTTTATTATTTTTTTGTAAGACATCATATATTCTTCAAACACCTAAACAAAGGCAGCAACTTTCACTATATCGTCCATACACTGCTGACCGGGAAATTTTGGACCAATAAATCTTGTGAGGCTTTGGCGTGGTCTTTCGGAGAGATGAAGCGTGGGAAGGGCATGGTAGCGTCGATAGAGAGAAAGGAGGAGGAGATGACGAGTGGAAAGACTTGTGAAGGAAAGAAAATATCAAGGTCTTTCATGGTGTAGATGGTTTGAAGCAATGTAAGTAGCAGCAGGACCACTCCAGCAACCATGGAGGTAGTGGTCCATGGATTACAGAAATAGGTGTGTAAAAGGGGGAGAGAGATGATACCACAGAGAGAGATAGATGCATGCAGACGAAATTCCCTGCAATCTGTTCTTGATATTGACGCTAGAGAGAATACCCCAAAAGATTTGTATAATAATCACAGTACTCCAAAAGAAAATAAGAGAACAGCGAAAGACAATTAGAGAACCTCAAAAGAATCGAAGTCATAAGCATCTTCGTGGACAAAGAAGATATTTTATTCAAGTGAGGCGGGATTTGCATACCACGAAATTTGATTTACATACCACGAAATTTCTGAAACGCAAATAACAATGAAATTGCCCAAACTAATATGAGCCAATAACAATGAAATTTCCCGAACGAATATGAGCCAATAACAATGAAATTTCTTGACTCCATATTGGAGCCGAGAAGGCAATGAAATTTCCTGACTTCATATCGGAGCCGAGGAGGCTATGGTGGCTTTGATACTATAGAATAGAGAATGGAGATAGAAAATATAAAATGGAAAATAGAGATAGAAAAAGAGAATACAATATTTACATAGGCCGAAGCTTTACGTCAGCGGATCCCCCAACTGGCTACATCTTCATTATTTTAGATGAATCTATACCTCTATATATATATAGAAGACAATCACACAGTTACATAATTATTAGAGATAGATAAATAATAAGAGGCTTTATCACCAAACTAACGTGACATTTATCTTCTAGATACCTAACCCACATATACTTATACATCCATATATATCAATATGAACCCGAGATATCCAATATATCCATATCTTAACATCTTTCCATTTTTTTTTTGGGTAAATAACCTCTCTCGCCATGCGTACACCAACTCTCTTTCTCCCCCTCTCTCTCTTTCCCAACCTCTCTCCATGCAAAAGCAAGCCGTTGATGGCCTTTGACCTCAATCTCCTCTAAAACCCTCTATTTTTTCATAGATTTCATCAAAAGATAGGGCGTCTTCAATCTCCTGCAAAAACCCATAAACTTGGCCCCTAACCTCAATCCAACTACACTCGGGCTCCTTCCTTAACTCCATTCCCGTCATCTTGGCT